CCACTAGCCAGACTAATAAGAGAGAGAAGAATTGAATAGCTGCAATACAAAATGATAAAGGGGATATTACCACCAATTCCACAAAAATATAAACTACCATCGGAGATTACTACAAACACCTCTATGCACATAAACCAGTAAATCAAGAATGAATAAATTCCTGGACACTTACAACCACCCAAGGCTAAACCAGGAAGACGTTGAATCCCTGAATACACCAACAACAAGGTCTGAAGTTGAGGCAGCAATTAATAGCCTATCAACCAAAAAAAGTCCAGGATCAGACGGGTTCACAGCCAAATTCTACCAGAGGTACAAAGAGGACCTGGTACCACTCCTTCTGAAGCTATTCCAAACAATACAAAAAAAGGGAATCCTTCCCAACTCATTTTACGAGTGCAACATCATCCTGATACCAAAACTTGGCAGAGATACAACTAAAAGAGAAAATTTCAGGCCAATATCCATGATGAACATTGATGCAAAAATCTTCCATACAATACTGGCAAACCGATTCCAACAGCACATCAAACAGCTTATCCATCACGATCAAGTAGGCTTCATCGGGGGATGCAAGGCTGGTTCAACATATGCAAATCTATAAACGTAATCCCACATAAACAGAACCAAAGACAAAAACCACACGATTATCTCAATAGATGCAGAGACCTCTGACAAAATTCTACAGCACTTTATGCTAAGAACTCTCAATAAACTAGGTTTTGATGGAACGTTATCTCAAAATAGAGCGATTTTTGACAAACCCACAGCCAATATCATACTGAATGGGCAAAAACTGGAGGCATTCCCTTTGAAAACTGGCACAAGTCAAGGATGCCCTCTCTCACCACTCCCATTCAACATAGTATTGGAAGTTCTGGCCAGGGCAATCAGGCAAGAAAAAGAAATAAACGGTATTCAATGAGGAAAGGAGGAAGTCAAACTGTCTCTCTTTGCAGACAACACGAATGTATATTTAGAAGAGCTCATCATCTCAGCACAAAAGCTCCTTAAGATGATAAGCAACTTTAGCAAAGACTCAGGATACATAATCAATGCGCAAAAATCACAAGCATTCCTATACACCAGTAACAGGCAAACAGAGAGCCAAATCATGAGTGAACTCCCATTCACAATAGCTACAAAGAGAATAAAATACCTAGGAATACAACTAACAAGGGATGTGAAAGACCTCTTCAAGAAGAACTATAAACCACTGCTCAAGGAAATAAGAGAGGACAAAAACAGATGGAAAAACATTCCATGCTCATGGTTAGGAAGAATCAATATTCTTCCTAATGGACATACTGCGCAAAGTAATTTATAGATTCAATGCTATCCCCATCAAACTACCACTGACTTTCTTCACAGAATTGGAAAAAAAACATGTTAAACTTCATATGGAACCAAAAGAGAGTGCACACAGCCAAAACAATCCTAAGTTTAAAAAAAAAAAAAAAAAAAGCTGGAGGTATCATGCTACCTGACATCAAACTCTACTACAAAGCTACAGTAATCAAAACAGCATGGTACTGGTACCAAAACAGAAATATAGACCAATGGAACAGAACAGAAGCCTCAGAAGCAACACCACACATCTACCACCATCTGATCTTTGACAAACCTGACAAAAACAAGCAATGGGGAAAGGATTCCCTATTTAATAAACGGTGTTGGGAAAACTGGCTAGCCATATGCAGAAAGCTGAAACTGGATCCCTTCCTTACACCTTATACAAAAAATAACTCCAGATGGATTAAAGATTTAAACATAAGACCTAACACCATAAAAACCTTAGAAGAAAATCTAGGCAAAACCATTCAGAACACAGGTATAAACAAGGACTTCATGACCAAAACACCAAAAGCATTGGCAACAAAAGCCAAAATAGACGAATGGGACATAATCAAACTCCACAGCTTCTGTACGGCAAAAGAAACAGTCATTACAGTGAAATGGCAAACAACAGAATGGGAAAAAATTTTTGCCATCTACCCATCTGATGAAGGGCTGATATCCAGAATTTACAAAGAGGTAAAACAGATTTACAAGAAAAAAACAAACAAGCCCATTCAAAAGTGGGTGAAAGATATGAACAGATACTTTACAAAAGAAGACATACATGAGGCCAACAAACATGAAAAAATGCTCATCACCACTGGTCATTAGAGAAATGCAAATCAAAACTACATTGAGATACCATCTCACGCCAGTTAGAATGGCGATCATTAAAAAATCTGGAAACATCCCAGCACTTTGGGAGGCTGAGGCAGGTGGATCACAAGGTCAAGAGATCGAGACCATCCTGGTCAACGTGGTGAAACCTCGTCTCTACTAAAAATACAAAAAAATGAGCTGGGCATGGTGGCACGTGCCTGTAATCCCAGCTACTCAGGAGGCTGAGGCAGGAGAATTGCCTGAACCCAGGAGGCGGAGGTTGCGGAGCTGAGATCGTGCCATTGCACTCCAGCCTGGGTAACCAGAGCGAAACTCCGTTTCAAAAAAAAAAAAAAAATCTGGAAACAACAGATGCTGGAGAGGATGTGGAGAAACAGGAACACTTTTACACTGTTGGTGGGAGTGTAAATTAGTTCCAACCATTGTGGAAGACAGTGTGGCCATTCCTCAAGGACCCAGAAATAGAAATTCCATTTGACCCAGCAATCCCATTACTGGGTATATATCCAAAGGATTATAAATCTTTCTACTATAAGGACACATGCACACGAATGTTCACTGCAGTACAGCTTACAATAACAAAAACCTGGAACCAACCCAAATGCCCATCAATGACAGACTGGATAGTGAAAATGTGGCACATATACACCATGGAATATTATGCAGCCATCAAAAATGATGAGTTTGTGTCCTTTGTAAGGAAATGGATAAACCTGGAAACCATCATTCTCAGCAAACTGACACAAGAGCAGAAAATCAAACACCGCATGTTCTCACTCATAGACTGGTGTTGAACAATGAGAACACATGGACACAGGGAGGGGAGCACTACACACTGGGGTCTGTTGGGGGGAAATAGGGGAAAAACAGTGGGGGGTGGGGAGTTGGGGAGTGATAGCATGGGGAGAAATGCCAGATGTAGGTGATGGGGAGGAAGGTACAAATCACACTGCCACGTGTGTACCTATGCAACAATCTTGCATATTCTTCACATGTACCCCCAAACCTAAAATGCAATTTAAAAACAAAACAAAACAAAACAAAACAAAACAAAAGCAATGGCAACAAAAGCCAAAATAGAAAAATGGGATCTAATTAAATTTAAGAGCTTCTGTATAGCAAAAGAAACTATCATTAGAGTGAACTGGCAACCCACAGAATGGGAAAAATTTCTGCAATCTGGCCATCTGACAAAGGGCTAATATCCAGAATCCACAAAGAACTTAAACAAATTTACAAGAAAACAACCCCATCAAAAAGTGAGTGAAGGATATGAACAGACACTTTCAAAAGAAGACATTTAAGCAGCCAACAAATACATGAAAAAATAATCATCACTGGTCATTGGAGAAATGCAAATCAAAACCACACTGAGATACCATCTCATGCCAGTTAGAATGGTGATCATTAAAAAGTCAGGAGACAACAGACATTGGAGAGGATGTGGAGAAATAGGAACACTTTTACACTGCTGGGAGTGTAAATTAGTTCAACCATTGTGGACAACAGTGTGGTGATTCCCCAGGGATCTAGAAATAGAAATACCATTTGACCCAGCAATCGCTTTACTGGGTATATACCCAAAAGATTATAAAACGTTCAACTATAAAGACACATGCACGCGTATATTTATTGTGGAACTGTTTACAATAGCAAAGACTTGGAACCAACTCAAATGTCCATCAATGATAAACTGGATAAAGAAAATGTGGCACATATACACCATGGAATACTATGCAGCCATAAAAAAAAAGTATGAGTTTATGTCCTTTGAAGGGACATAGATGAAACTGGAAACCATCATTCTCAGCAAACTAACACAAGAACAGAAAACCAAACACAGCATGTCCTAACTCATAGTGGGTGTTGAACAATGAGAACACATGGACACAGGGAGGGGAACATCACACACTGGGGCCTGTCAAGAGTTGGAGGGCTAGGGAAGGGCTAGCAGGGGGTGGGGGCACTGGGGAGGACTAACATCAGGAGAAATACCTAATGTAGATGACGGAGGCAAGGGGAGGGAATGGATGCAGCAAACCACCATGGCATGTGTACAACTATATAACAAACCCGCACATTCTGCACATGTACCCCAGAACTTAAATTTAAAAAAAAAAAAAAAAGATACTGAGGGTTCTTCATGAAAGGTACCACATGAGGTAGTGTTAACTTTAGGAGATATGAGAAAGACTTTATTATAAGGGAAACAGGTACCACAAAGGACTCTCCTGACAAATTTAGAGAAAACTGTTTTCTCTCCTGACTTCAGGGAAAGACATTTTTGTATTTTGCTATAGACAGATAGCTTTCCTATCAAGGTAAGAAAATTGTTACAAGATAGACTTGCATTTTCTACAATTCTGTTGCTTAAATACTCAAAAATTATCACCTCATTAAAGTCATTATTAATTAGGTAATTATTTTTAAAATTAAGTTGGTAGTTAAAAATGTAATTGCTTAAAATAATTGCAAACTTTTCCTTCTCTTGTAATAACAAGCTTTCCTCTAAGAATAGTCATTTTTGACAAAATGCAGATTATCACTAAACCAAGGCAAAAAACCCATTTGTCAGATAGCGCCTAGGCAGGTTATTAGTAAAACAACATGCATTTTACATAATGTAACTTAAAAATTAGACATGAAATACTACTTGAAATTTTATCATAACTGTCTTACTTCATATATGGAAATTTCTAAAGAGGCAAGTCACAACAAAAAATCATTTTCTTAAAAATAAAATCTGTCATTTGAACACTACCTTTCAAACAAAGACAAAAATACTTGCAAACATTTACAAAATAAAAAAGGAAATATATTACCTCCTACATCAATAAAGTGTTTTGCAGCCAAGCCAGACCGTGGAGCTAAGAAACAAGGAGACATTGGTTATTTAAAGTGGGAAGGGCTATGCTAGATATAGCTGATGCAATTTAAGCATGTCATTCTCTTCACCTATCATATCGACATCTTCATCTTAACTTTAGCACATCATTTTAAATTAAAGAATATATTCATCATACTGTATTACCAAAGTTGGAAATAATAGTTTAGAAAAATTCTAGGGCTGGGCGCGGTGGCTCACGCCTATAATCCCAGCACTTTGGGAGGCCGAAGCGGGTGGATCACGAGGTCAAGAGATCGAGACCATCTTGGTCAACAAGGTGAAACCCCGTCTCTACTAAAAATACAAAAATTAGCCGGGCATGGTGGTGCACGCCTGTAGTCCCAGCTACTCGGGAGGCTGAGGCAGGAGAACTGCTTGAACCCAGGAGGCGGAAGTTGCGGTGAGTAGAGATTGTGCCATTGCACTCCAGCCTGGGTAACAACAGCGAAACTCTGTCTCAAAAAAAGAAAAATTCTAAAAGGTTTTAATTCAAAACTAACAAACCACTCCCATGTGACTTCAACGGAGAATTTCTGGTGGTGTAGACATGGGAGAACAATTACTAGAATTAAAGCTGAAAGGTGAGGAAGCTGGAACAACTGAAGCCTGCTCTTTCAAGAAGTTTAGCCTCAAAGGGGAACAAAGAGGAATGTGGCTGGCAGGAACACAGTACCGAGGAAGAAGACTTCAGTTTTTTTTGTTTTGCTTTTGTTTTGTTTTGTTTTTTTGTGGGTTTATTTTATTTTTTGTCAGAGATAGAGAGTCAGAGAGAGAAAGCGTGAGAGAGAGAGGCAGAGAGTCAGAGAAGAGAGTCAGTGTCAGAGAGAGAGAGTGTCAGAGAGAGAGAGAGTCAGAGAGAGAGAGCGTGAGAGAGAGGCGGAGAGTCAGAGAGAGTGTCAGAGAGAGTGAGTGAGAGAGAGAGAGAGAATCAGAGAGACCGAGAAAGAGACAGAAGTAGTAGAGTCGAACTTTGGTTTTAAGATGGGATACCACAACATGTACAACGTAGACAGGAAGGGAGACGAAGAAGGGAGAAGGGAACAAATCTAACCAAATTGCAGAGCACATTCTAGAACTTGAGACCCCACTATTCATGATTCAGATGCCAAAAGACATGCCTGTAGGAAACATATGAACCAGAGTAAGATAAATGGGCTAATATCAGTTAAGTAAAATACCAAAAACCAAGTCTATTTGGTTGAATGTTAGCATACTTTTTAATCCTAAAAAATGAAAAAAAGAGCTAAGTTTATACCTTATACTTGCTGACCCAAGCATCACACCTGTAATTAATTATCCTAACTTCTAGTATTTTATTTTAGAATAATTTAAATCAGGCACTTTGTCAGTAATGCTGCCTCTTTCTGAAACGACCTTTATTTCACTCCATCTTCGGCCCCTTCCCCTGAAAAGAGTCTTAAAAATGCAATTAATGATGCCCATCTTAGATAACAAGATGAGAGCCCATCTTGTTATCTTTAAGGAGCTGAAGTACTGGCAGTTTCCCCACTCATGGCTAGTAAGATAGTGCCAGCCTAGCTCCGTTTCCCACAGGAGGGTGTCACAGTTCCACGGGCTCCTTTATATTTACTCTGAAGTTAGTCAAAAAGAACTTACGCTCTTGCAAAGAACTCTGGTAACAACTGATCCACTCCAGAAAAATCAAAACTGTTGACTGGTACACCATTTTGTCCTAGCTCCTTCCAATCCCTCTAGAACACTGAAGAGTATTCCTTACCCTAACCCCATGGCCAAACAAGAAAAGGTTAAATAGGCTTACACACTCTAGGACCACAACAAGGTTATAAGTTTTACTCTCATAATATAAAACGTCTTGTTCTCAGAACAACCTCCTAGCCCAATGTGAACCTAAAAGCTCCAGTGAGGAAGGAGAAAAATAAAAGGATCAAAAAGAGGCAAAGCAGAGATGTAAATGAAGCCTTTCAAACAGTGCATTTGCTATCACAAATGGGGACACAGCCCAAGCAGTATTACCTGCTTATTACCCCAAATGAAACATGAAGAATGTATCACAAAGGAGAGCTTGACAAATAGTACCTGTTTCTTAAATGACTTACCTACTCTTCCATAACACCCAGAAGGAAGCGCTATCTGTATGTCTGTTTTCACAAGAGCTTTCTCCATAGGTGGTATTGTGTAATCATAGGCACTAAGAAAATATTGAAAGAAAGTAAATGCAAATCTACTTATAAAACCGGTTTTATATTTTGTTTGTGACCAAGCATATAAAATTGCTTTCAATATATTTAATGAATTAATGCAAATTTAGTTTCTAAAATCAACCTTGCTAAGAATTCCCAATTCATCTTAAAAGTTTATGAAGAAGGCAGAGGTAGCTATTTTCTTTTATTAAAATGACAGCTTTAGATAAAATAATTCTCTGTAATTTTGATGGTGTGAAGAGACGCCAACATTGTAAATATTTGTCCCTGAACAGAAGTTTTTTTGGGAAACTGAGGTACTTATTAGCATGAAGGGGCACAAAGGCATACTTTGAAAAGGTGGATGCTTTACTACCATAGTTTGAAAAGAAAAAAAAATGAAGAAAGAACCAAGAAAAAAGGCCAAATACTGGCCAACAATAGCTATCATTAAGCCTTTACTATGTGCCAGGCACAGTTCTAATTGGTTTATATATATATATTAACTCATTTTATTCTCACAATCATCTACGTGATTAGGGAAAATCTGCAGAAGGAAAGGAGAAAAAGGGTGGACAAAATAAGAACGATAAAGAACTGTGTTGTATCTGTCAGGCTGGGTTCGATAGTTTACCAAGCTTAAGCCATGAACTTCCTGGCTGAAGGAGAGAGCTGATCTCTGTGAACAGCACGTGGAGATAGCTCTTGCTAAGGAACGGAATTCCTCAAACAGCAAATGCTGCCATTCTTGCTATTACTGTGGCCCTCTCCGGGGTAGAAAATTAAGAGATTTTACAATGAGCAGACCGAAAGTTTACCTTGGGGACCTTAATGAAGTCTGGTAAAGTAGTACTACACTTCCCCTTCTTTCACTGAAATCCCTCTTCAAATAGTTAAGCCCTAATTTATTATAGAGATACATTATTTCCATGTCAATTTCAGGACAGAGAGTCACCTGTGTTTATCAGGAAACAAGTATCTTAAAAAGGACTCCCCTAGGACTCACAAAAGTGCTCCAAGATATACTTCGGAAAGATCTAGTCAAACTACATCACACTACTTTTACTCATTAAAATTAAGAGACTGTACAGTTTTTCCAGCTACAATTGTCCATCCCTAATTTCCCTCTCCATTCTTTTCTGCTGCTATCATCACGCACTCCTTTCTCTCCTCCCGTGTTTAGACCAATAGCTCTCATGTTCAAATTACCTGAGATAATTTAAAATAAATCCCAGTGCTGGGGATTTAGTGATATAATAAACTCTCCTCCTCTTTCAGCATTACTTTTCACCTACCTTAATGGTTCTAAGAACTGGGTACGGTGGTCAAATTTTTTTTAAAAAGCCCGAAATTCAGGGTGAAAAATATTCTATTATCTTGAAACCTCTGGGCAGATCAATTCAGCTCTTCACAAACTCCCACCTGTGTAAAACGTAACACTAATCTACTTAAGGATTGTTGTGAGGACTAAATAGCAAACGGGAAAGTTTATGGTACAGGTAAAACCTGCTGCAGAGATGAAAGTGTGGTAGTATTACAGGCAGCTCTGCCTTTCCTATTCGGAAGTCTTTTGAAATTCCGCCCTGGGGCCAGATGAATGCATAGAAAATAGCTCTTTAAGGCAGATGCATGCTTAATTCTATTCTTAGGTATTTTCACGCTCACATCCAGGCTCTCACCTCGGCTTTTCTACTGAGCACAGCATCACCCTCAGGCCACTCAGAAGCCACCCCGTGCCTTCCCAATCTCTACCTTCCATTTTGGAAGGGTTTGTTGCAAAGTAACGTCTTGGTAGACACTGTATAGCTCTCTTACTTATTCTGCACTCTGCCGAAATCTCTATGCCAAAGATGAAAGCTAAAACATTCGACATGAAGAAAGGCAGAAGTCCTTTTTACAGCTAGCGTGTTCCTGCCATCCCTTTGGTGACTTTCTCGCTGAGGCTGCGGATGGCCGGCCCTCCCCAGCCTCCTCGCTCGGCACTGCCCGCTCACCTGTACAGGTCGTAGCCCGCGGCCCGCGCCGAGCCCCGCGTGGGGGCCGTGGCGTGCTCGGAGAGCCTGGCAAAGCGGAGCTGCATGCCACCCTCCTCTGCGGGCCGGGCCCGCTTGCTGGGTGAAACGGGTGTCTCTTCAGAGGAGGGCATGGCACAGCCAGAAGGCGAACGCGGAGAACGCCCGGGAAACAAGAAAACGTTAAGATAAGCGGCGTCGCAGGAAACTCGCCCAAACCAAAATTTCCCGCTAGCTCCTCCCCACCCACCGCCCCCTGCGGGACGAGTCCACCGTTCTGGCTGGGAGGGGAGGCAGGATTCACATTGTGGGCTAGAAGCCCTTCTCGGAAAGCAAGTTTGGGTTCGGAAACTACCAGGTCCCAGTCAACGTTCCACATTCAGCGCGCGAAGCCGACGTTGGGGGCAGCTCCTGGGGCATCGCGCTCACACTAGAAAGCGGCCCCCTCCGTCAGGGGACCCGAATGGACTCCCCCTGCGCGCACGGAGGCCGCTCACCGCCCTCCTTCCCCCACCCTCTCTAGCCGGAGGATTTCCTTCCGGGCTGCCGGGGCCTCTCGCACGCCTCTCTCCTCCCCCGCCAGGGCGCCAGGCGCCCGCGCCCCCGACTGTACTGGCTCCGCGGCAGCCTCGGCTCAGGCGGCCGGCGCTGGACAGCGGCTGGGGCGTCCCGTGTTGCGCGGCGCGGCCGAGGGGCGGGCCCGGCCCGGAGAGTCCCCCGGCCTCGGCCCTCTGCCGTGCGCCTCGCGCGCTTTGCATCGCCGAGCGAAGCAGAGACGGCAGGAAATGGTGGCACAGCGCGGGGCGGGGGCAGAGAGGAGTCATTTCCCCCGAAGTTTGGGCTGGTTGGCTCCTCGGCACCTCCGGACGTGCGCCTGGCTTCCCCCCTGAAGACCCGCGCGTCCCGGGCACGTGACCTCGGAAGCGCTCGCCGCCGAGGGGCGTGGGGAGGCGGCGCCCAGGCCTGGCGCAGGACCCGGGGCTGCAGGAACTCGGCGTCCTTGGCATCCTGGGTCTTGCTGCCGCCTCCCGCTGCCTCCGCCTCTTGGCCCCGTTCCTGTTTGCTCTGGTCTTCATTTTCCGAGAGTGTCCGCCTGGCCGGAGACCTGTTCCTGGCTAACTTACCTGGGGCTGCACCGCCGGCCGCCATGACTCCCGGACTCTGAGCTCAGGGGCGCCCAAAGCGCCGGAACCGCAGCTTGGCGCGGTTGACATTGAGTGCGCCCAGGGCCGCTGCCCAGGCTGCGGGCAAGAAGCCGATTTCCTTCCAGCACCGAGGGCCAGACGTTGTAGTGTTTATTCCACTGGAGGCAGGGAGGGCGCTAGGATCATAGCACAGAGGTGGGATAACCCAACGGAAACGACGCGGGAACCCCGTGGCTAGGAGTAGAACTAGGATCTCAGGCCGCAGTGGTGGTTTACAGTGGGGCATAAAGCAATAGCTTTCTAGATAGTTGTTAATAATGTAAGTATCTCGGTATTTCTCAGAAAAATCTGAGAATTGAATACTTTTGAATTTTCAACCTCAAAAAAAAAGCTGTGGGACAGTTTTAGATAAAAGTAGAAGTGTTATGAAAGTATTATTGGGAAAGTTTTACATTTGTTGCTGTGCTTTTCCTTACAGGCCCCGCCTTTTCAGTCTCCTTAACTGGTTCCTCTTCGTTGTTGCTATTCCTTTGAATGAGGCTATGGAGTATACACCGCCTTCTCTGGACCAGACTTGCAACTTTTCGACCTGGATTTGAGCCAACGTTATTTTGCTCTCTTAAATAACTGCTTTCTCCAGTTATTTACTGAAAATGTTCACGTGAGAGATACGTTGAGTCCTTGCTTTTACTAAAATGTAGTGATTGTAATTACTTCATTTTCCTAGACCCAGATAAAAGCCTCACTTCATTCATGAAACTTCCCTACAATCAGCAGTGACCTCTGCCCCGTCTTACGTTTTAACACTTCTATATCATTCATGAGTCATTAGCCATATACTCTAATTGTGTAATCTAATGATGTATTTGCGTTTTATCTTTCAAACGAATTAGTCATAAACTTTTATGAGTTCTTCAAAGCACCTACTTCAGTGTATTACGCAAAATTATTTGTCTCGTTGCAATATCTAACACCAAGCAGATAACCTATTTTTTGTTGTTAATCTGTATACAGAAAGTGTTTATTATTGTTACCTTTCAGCTGCAGTTATTTTAGACTAAAAGAGAAAAGGCCACACTCTGTCAAAAAGTGATAGTATTCTGTGCCAGTAAGCACTTAATAGAAGATTCTTTATGACAATAAAAATGTAACTTTTTATGAACATACATGAACATACACCTTAAATGCAAAATACTTCAGTTAAGAGGAACTAAACATGTTTCAGCCATGGTTTACTTCATGGTGTTGTCTTTATCAGAATATAGTTAATCCAATCAGACATGCTGATTAATTGTTACCTAAGTCTAGTGCCAATTTAAATCTTCTGACAATGCAAGTCAGTACTTGAAAAGCAAAGTTGTTTTTCCCATCTTTGCCATTGTAGGGATTTCCCTCTCCTTTTATACATAGTTCCTACTTTATGTCTGGTATATTCTAAGTGCTTTAAAAATACTAACTCGAGGCCAGTCACGGTGGCTCACACCTGTAATCTCAGCACTTTGAGAGGTTGAGGTGGGCGGACCACCTGAGGTCGGGAGTTCAGGATCACCCTGACCAACGTGGAGAAACCCCATCTCTTCTAAAAATACAAAATTAGCCAGATGTGGTGGGGCATGTCTGTAATCCCAGCTACTAAGGAGCCTGAGGCAGGAGAATCGCTTGAACCTGGGAAGGGGAGGTTGCCGTGAGCTGAGATCATGTCATTGCACTCCAGCCTGGGAACAAAAGCAAAACTCTCCCAGCACTTTGGGAGGTCAAGGTGAGAGGATTGCTTCAGCTCGGGAGTCTGAGACCAGCTTGGGCAACGTAGGCAGACCCCATCTCTACAAAATGTATACAAAATCAGAACTGTGTGGTGGCAGGCACATGTAGCCCCAGCTACTCAGGAGGCAGAGGTGGAAGGATCACTTGAGCACAGGAGTTCAGAGGCTGAAGTCAGTCATGATCATGCCACTGCACTCCAGTAAGCAACAGAGTGAGTGAGACCCTGTCTCAACCCCCTCCCCCCAAAAAAACCCATTTAGTCATGACTACTAGAGGAAACAAATTCTATTACCCCCATTTTACAGATAAGGATAACAAAGCACAGAGTCATTAAATAAATTGCCCAAGATCACACAGATCACAACTACGAAGAGGTTAAGCCACAATTCAGATAGTCTGGCTTCTGGACTCTTGCATTTAGTCACTGTGCTCTGTATATGTGCCCTGCTGAGTCTTTGGTAACTTGTTAATATTGAGACAAGGTCTTTCTCTGTCGCCCAGGCTGAAGTGCAGTTGATCCAGCCTTCCAGATAGCTGGGACTACAGGCAGGTGCAACCACACCTGGCTAATTTTTTGTACGTTTTGTAGAGATGCATTTCACCATGTTGCCCGTGGCTGGGCTCTTGAACTCCTGGGCTCATGCATTCTGCCTGCCTTGGCCTCTCCAAGTGCTAGGATTACAGGCAGCAGCCACTGTCCCTGGCCCTATGGTAACTTAACAATGACTCTGCTACTGGCTGTGTTTCCAGGTCTGGGAGAGATGTTTGCAGTAAATAAGCCAGACATTCTTAATTGCACAGTTGATCATACCATCCTTCTTGAAACACTTCCTCCCATTTCACTGGCTGTCTCTTCTCAGTCTCCTTCTTGGCCCCTCTTCCCTTCTCAGCCTGTTATTGCTCAGGTGTAGCTAGGCATGGTGGCTCACGCCTGTAATCCCGGCATTTTGGGAGGCTAAGTGGGTGGATCACCTAAGGTCATGAGTTTGAGACTAGCTTGACCAACATGGTGAAACTGTCTCTACTAAAAAACAAAAACCCTTAGAGTCTTATTTACCTCCTCTTTGTATCTTATGTCTTCCCTTACCTAAAAATAGTCTCTTCCTAGGCACCAGCTAATGCTTTATCCTGTTTGGTTTTTCTGCACAGTATATATTGCTATATAAAATTACATGTATTCATTTGACTTGTTAACTGTATGTTTCCTCCACTATCACGTAAACTTCATGATGGATTTAAATCTGTCTTAATTTGGGTTTCAGATGTTCCTTTTTAAAATCTTTTCCTGCTTTCTGTGAAATGTACTAAATACTTTTCATTTCACCTTTCCCCTCTAATTTAAATGTTTTACTCTTTAGTTTTATTATTTTAAATAAATTAAAACATACATGCTTATCAGTGTTTAAAATATAAAATTAATCATAATGATTGTCTTTCTTCTGGATCATGCTAGGACCTTAGAATGCTTTAACAACATTAACCCTTCTTTGGATAAATATGCTATTACTGTCTAGCATATTAAATGCATCTTTTAATCTCAATAAGCATCATTATTTTACTGCTTTTCATAATTATCCCATAATATGAAAATTTCATAACATTTTCATATGAAAATGTTTACCCACACTTTTATTACTTTCTCTTCTTTCTCATCTCAGACTTCCATCTGAATCACTGTCCTTCTGCTTAAACCTCCCATGGAGAAGCTCTCCAGTAGACAGATGAACTGTCTTGGTTATTTTGTGAGTTTGAATAAAACTCTCAAAATCTTCCTCAGGGGAATATGTTCTTGGACAATCATTCATGAATGGAAGAACTGAAAAACTCAATGGAAAATTATCATCCCCTATAACTGCAGGATTCTATATTTCAATTTAGAACATTCCATCATGGGCCAAAATATTCATTTATCATGCCACATTTCACTCTTTTTTTTTTTTTTTTTTACAGTTCACTCTTAATAGGAATATATGTAAGCCAAAAAAGACAGAAGCCATACTTTGGGTTCTGGCACCAAAATTTAGAAGTGCTCCTTTATTTCAAGCCCAGAGGTTTTTATACCATAGGACAGACTGCGAGTCAGGTTTTGGATAGTTAAGTATGCCTATTTTTGTAAAAGGACAGTTGCAATAGGGGAGGTAGGAAGAAAGGCTGGAATATAGGCAGATCAGTTTCAGTAAAAAGTACATTTGTATTGACTAGCTGACAGTTCATTCTTTTAAAACTGTTTTGCCCAGAATACCATCAGGAAACTTCTTGGAATGTCTTATGCTCCCCCAAGAGTATATATGGCTGAATGTGAAAACACTGAACTGCTTATAATTTGAAACCCACAAAAATGTTCCTGCCAGGTTCTTGGGAAGAACACAAAGACCAGATAAATACATGTAGATTTTTGATTTCATAATAGCAGGATAGAAATCTTAAGCATGTGAGTAGCTCTGTAGATTGACATTGAGTGGCAGTTAAATAAACAGGTAAGGAGCTAGCAGATAATCAACAAAACAAGCATTTATTTCTACAAAATTGGATGAGCTCAAAAATGACTGCCTTGTTGGACTGAAGGCTCAAAGGGATCAGAATACTTACACCACAAACTCAGAACTATAGCTCTCCCTAATACACTGAATACCCAATCTCTCTTAACAAACATAATCACCATGAAAAGCAGACTGAATTATGGCCATGTGTGTAGAAGCACAAGGAGACAAAATTTCTGTAATTACAGTTCAGAGAAAGACTATTGTTATTTCGTTTTAAGCATAGTTGAGTTTTAGCCAAGTGAAGATATAAAAACAGGCCGGGTGTGGTGGCTCATGCCTGTAATCCCAGCATTCTGGGAGGCCGAGATGGGCAGCTCACTTGAGGTCAGGAGTTTGAGACCAGCTGGGCCAGCATGGTGAAACCCCATCTGTACTAAAAATACAAAAATTAGCAGGCATGGTGGTGCATGCCTGTAATCCCAGCTACTTGGGAGGCTGAGGCAGGAGAATCACTTGAATCAATGAGGTGGAGGTTGCAACGAGTTGGGATCACCTCATTGCCCTCCAGCCTGGGCAACAGAGCAAAATTTCATCTTAAAAAAAAAAAAAGAAAAGAAAAGAAAGAAAAAGAAATAAAAGCAGATGGCTTAAGAGCCAGGGTACACAGGAGAACCACCAAGACAGCAAGGGGTAAATGCACATGTCCATCACCAACTGACTACGCAAAATCTCCAGGGTGATTTTGTCGCCCACCCCTAGTTAAAGACCATTGCTTTAGGGGATTTATTTCTAAAGAATCTTTGGGGATCAAGACACCCTGGAAAGAGTTACGTCACATTTAACCAATATTACCAGCTTTATCAAGTATACTATACTGGGACCATTTTAATAGAGGCTCCTTTACCTTAAATATAGGAGCAGAGCCAGGGCCTTTGTTCTTAGCAATACATCTGTGGCACGAT